GGATGCTGGATGCTGGATGCTGGATGCTGGATGGATGGATGGATGGATGCCAGAGAGCGACGCAGAGCCAATGCCTCTGAAACGAGGCACAGCGCACCGGTCGGGAAGCGCGTTGCATCCATTGCGTGCTCAGCGCTGTCTCACGGCGCAGAGGCGCCCATGACGACGAGGCTGACTGCGTCCCGCAGAGAGAAACAAGATAGGCGTCTCGGTTCGCCATCCATCCCAACTCTCCGTCTTGACGAGCCGCGATGATCGATGGGCATCTCCTGATCACGACGCAGGTATCGGGAGAGGCGGGCCTGCTTGTCGGATTTCATCGTCGGGTGAGGGTGTTGTGTTGTGTGTGCTGCGGCCGGCCGTCATGGCTGCAATCTTGGAAGGGTCTGTAGGTACGGTTACGGTACCCCGCACTGGAGGACGGTGCCGGCGGACTACGGGCTTTGAGGGGTTCCTTGTTTTTGTTTGTTTGGGCTTCAGGTTCAAACTGCCTGCTATCGTGCTGTGGATACGATAAATATGGCCAGGCGATTATGCTGCTGGACTTGGATTTACTGTGGAGAGGTACACTGTGGTGGACGATGGTTTGATTTGCATTGTTTGTGTTTGTTCAGGCTTGCTGGTGGCTGCTGCGATGTGAAGGTACGTTAGACTACGTCATTGGCAAGTCTTGCTCGCTTCGGCTTGTGACAGGGACGTTTCACATGTCTCGGCCAGTAAACACGCCTGCCGTTATCGGCGTTGTGGTGGAATGAGGGCGGTTGCTGTGCTCGAGGTGGATGGCGCGACCTGGAGAAGATTAGGCCGGGATACGACTATTAGTAACCGGATGCGATGTTAATGTGCTTGCTTCCGATGGGTCCTGATCGAGGGCAAGAACGAAAAGGTTGTCCTACTTTACCAACGGAGGTGGTGGACGCCGCGCGTTGGTCTGTAAGCAGGTATCAAGCGCACAACACCACAGCCGCCCAACCATCTATTCTACAACCTCATCCCCACTCACTCCGAAACATCAGCCCAAACCCCTCCTCTCACCCTGGCCCTCAGCGCCCATTTCATCGTCATCATCATCATCACCCCCCAACAGCCCCCTCTCCTCGACCCCCCCACTACCTCTCCTTCTAAACCCCCCCACCCCACCCGTCCCACCCTCACCCGCCCCCTCCTCACCCCCATTCAGCACAAACCAAACATCCTTCTTCGTCAACAACCCCCTCAAACAGCCCCTCTCCACAAAAACCACATACCGCAACCCGAGCTTCGAAAACATGCTGACCGTCAACTGCAAGCTGGCCTGCGCGTTGAGCGTGATCGGCGTCTGATCCATCCACGGCCTGAGATCGAGACTGGTGGACGGGTCTGCGAGGGGCTGGTGCGAGAAGTACGCTTCGGCGTCCGAGCCAAGGCTCCGGGGCGGCGACTGTGCGGCTTCGAGCGCGAAGGCGAGTTCGGTGCGGGAGATGTAGCCGAGGAGGAGGGCGTCGAGGGGCGTGTCGATGACGGGGAAGCCGCGGAAGGCGTGGGTCGCGAGGAGCTGTTTGAGAGATTGGATCGTGTGGCCTGTGGCGGTGATGACGGCGAGGTCCTCGATGCGGCTCATTACTTGGGCGGCCGGCACGTCGGGGATCGACGACGCGTTGTCGTCGCCGCGGTTGTCCAGGAACGGGTACCCGTTGAAGTGAATCCAGGCTTCGTAGATGCCGCGCGGCGAGATGGCGTCGCCGACCCATTTGCTGATCATGACGGCGATCATGATTGGGAGCACGTAGGTGAGCGCGCCTGTGAGCTCGAACATGATGACTACGACCGAAACGGTCATGCGTGTGGCTCCTCCTAGAGCGGAGGCGGCGCCGATGATGGCGTATGTGCCGGGCGTGACACAGGGGACGTCGGGCTCGCAGGATGTGAAGGGGAACCATTTGGGATGAGCGGTTTGGAGCACTTGGACGATGAGGCCAAAGGCGCGGCCGTAGAGGGCTCCGATGGCCATTGAGGGGAGGATGATACCCGCTGGGATGAGGAGTCCAAAGGTTATGGTTGCGAGGAAGAATCCCAAGACGGCGGCGATGAGGGCTAGAGCGATGAGTCCAGTGTTGGCCCGTCCGTTCCGGCAGACGTCCAGAATATCGTCGTGGACGTCAACGCATTCAGCGAAGAGATAGTAGACGAGTTCCGACGCCTGTGCTCGCATGACTTTGATGGGAAAGTTGACGAGAGCTGTAAGGAGGGCGACTGCTGCTACCTCGATGACTGGACTGCTGAAGAGTGGTCTTGATCGACGCCATTCTGCAACCTTCATGTTCATCTTGATGAACAGTCCGCCATAGAGACCACCTATGATCCCAAGGAGCGCGAATGGAACCATCTCGAATCCATGCCACCCGGTGCGATACGTTACTTGATACATGACCAGCTTGTTAGTCCGGAACGGATCAAAGGTATGGAGAGCAACGGCAGCAATCATGGCACAGACGAAGCTCTGCCACATGGTCTTATCGGGGAAGTAGTAGGAGAGTTGCTAGCAGAGTCAGTGAGTGGATCAAATGTACGTGTAGCATGTCCGTACCTCTAGACTGAATAAGACTCCTCCAATTGGGGACCCAAAAGCCACGGATATGCCAGCCGCAGCTGCTGCGGAGAGTACTTCTCTTTTTCGTGCTGTGGGTGATCATCAGCCTACGCCAGCCAGAGTCTCTGAGCCACCGACCTTCATTTCCATTTATGTTCGGCGTGAACTTCATGAACAAGTTTGCGCAGCAACACGCTACATGCACAAGGGGACCTTCCTTGCCAAGCCATAAACCAGAAGCGACAGCAAGACACTGGCTTTCCGATCAGCTGGGGCGGAAACTCGGTCCATGATAAAAGACTTACCAAACCCAATGACTTGATGACCAATGTCCACGCACCCATGAAATATCGAATAACGAAGCCTCCCAACACCGTCTTTATCTCGGGTATCCCGCTATGCTTGGCGTAAATCGCATGATTTTTGACCAAGATGCTCGCGCATGTGGCGAACAGAACCTATACGAGATGAGCCTCGTGCAAAGAGAATTAGGAAGACAGTACTTACAGATAATAGAATATAAAACAAGTACTCCATGACGTACTGACCACCGGCCGAGTGCACACCAAGCGCAGAACCCCAAGGATGCCAGTCGCGGCACTGAGAAAGCTCTGCAATATCGTCAAAGGTGGGTCTTTCCGACTTCGTGCAAAGACATACCTTCATGTCCCCAGCAGCAGAACACTTTATTCAAATAGAACTTCCCATCCCCACCTTCGTTGCTACAATATCCAGTTTTCAAATCACCCAACCAATCGCTCGCAACATCAATAAAAGCGGCTATCCAACCGCTCGCAAGTCCAGTCGCAATCAAGACAAGCCAGATCTGGCTCGCATCCGCTATCTGTCGAATGTGACCCAGTATACCGTTCGCGTTCGAGTACAACAGCCGCAGCCGTTGCCGCTCTTTGGCGTATTCGAAGATCCAGTCTATTGCGGTCAAGTCGTCATAGCCTACGCGACGTCCTGGGCCCTCCACATACCAATCTACGCCGGTTGGGTCTTTGCCGTCTTGCGCTTGTGCGCCAGCATCGCCGGGCTGGTCCAGGTACGAGAGTATGGCGTCGGTGGAGGCATCTTGGGGGAAGGCACCGCTGCGTTGGCGGCGATGCTCGGCGCGCGAGGAGGACGGTCGATTTAGGGGGGAAGGCTGTCTGCTGTTGCCGGAGAGGGGAGACAGGAATTTAGGGATGGAGAAGCCGCCGTTGGAGGACTTGCTCTTCGACCTCCGCTTGAAGGACAGTCTTTGTCAATGTCAGCGATGTTCCGATTCCCTCAATGGATGGATATTCGCATTGCCAGAGTGCTCTCATACCCATGAGACAAATCCGCAGCCAAAGGGTCCTGCGACAGGAGCTGTGCCTCGTCCGCGTCGTTGACGTGGCTATCGGGTGGTGTGTGCTGCGATGGGCTGCGATTGCGGCTCAACGACGCATCTGTCTGCGCGCGTCCAGACTGGCTTGACGACGAGCTCGACATGTCCCCGGACGAGACTTGGCAGTCATTCTCCGAGTCGAGACGCGTAGCGGCGCAGTTGAGGTACGAAGCTCTCCCTGCCTACGTCTCAGCCCTATGGACGAGCTGACGTAAGTCGTGGCCGTGCCCAGATCGCCCTTATCGATAATAGCGCTTTGTTGCCTCGCGGTTCAAAGTCGACGACCACTCCGTTGTATCTTGCTGTGTCAACGTCCACGGTAACTATGATGAGCATTGCTTGGATCCAGAAGGACCAGTTGAATTGCTTCGAGCTTTATTCCGGCATTGAATATACCGTCCCTCCCACGCATTGGACATTAACACCACCGCATCACATCGAAAGTGCGTATGCTCTCATCCAGCTGATTTGGTAGGATTCTCATACCAGACTTTACCAGCTCGTCCCTTTTCTATCTCCCAATCTCTCTTTACATATATTCATTTCCCTTTGGCTGCGGTAACTTTTCTTCGAACATCTACAGCAAGATGGCTCTTCATCTGAAGAACGCCCGGACCCTGACAGACGGCGGCACTGCGGATCCATGAACCCAACCACACTCCAATTCTCCCGACCCACCAAACAAGCGAAGGTCACCTCATCATGAATACCACATAAGAGACACAAGTCTCATGCTGCGGCTTCGATTCGAACTTCTTCGAACAAGTCTTGCCCTGTCTCGCCTGACTTTGAAACCCACAAAGCAGCCTCTGCCTCGATTCTTAGGTCAGCCAGCCTCGACTTCAAGTCTCCGAAGTCACGGCAAACTGCAGGCCGGGAAAAGGCCTGATTCCCCCGGAGTGGGTTCCTCTGCACGTCCAGCCGACACTCCACGGTTCGCAAGTTTCCACTTGCCAGGCAGTGCTACCCACAGACTGCACACAACGAACCGGTTGAAGTGGATATATGCGCAAACCACAATTTGTTTGTCATCAAAACACAGCAAGTTCGCATCTATCGGTATTGGTCTAGTGGCTAGGATTTGTCGCTCTCAGCGGTCAGAAATGATCAGTAGAACCGACAAGGCCGGGGTTCAATTCCCCGATACCGAAAAGAATCAGCGAGCGTGTAGTAATTTTTCTTTTTGGTCGTGGTTATCATTTTGGTTGTTGTGGTTGGACAAGTGATGGTGGCGATGTTCTTTTTGCTATCTTGATGGCAGTGGTAGCTTTTGGAACTCGGCAACACGTTGGCAGTCAAAGCAGCCGTCAATTAACCATACATGCAAGTTCTGCTTCGCTTGCTTCCGTTTAGCGGAATGGTGTTGAAATTGGTTGGCAGCATTGGCCTCTCGTCGATTTCCCGACCGGGCTTAGCGCGGTCGCAACCACATCTTCGCACCAACACTGGATTAACATCGTCGCAAAGCTGTGATGGAAACAGAACGGGGATTCAGTGTGGCGTGACGGTTCTCGATAACTGGACGGGCATCGCAAAGACTCCGCAACGAGCCTCGTTTTCAGCTTCAAGGTATCGTGTTCTATCCAGTTGAAGAATCCCGTTGTTGATATCCTACCGCATAAATCTGACATGTCGACTAAGCTTTGACATCTCATGGAGAACGAAAGCTGATGGTAGTCACTTGCAAGGCCTGCTACGAAAAGTCATGACCACAAGGCCATCGAAGCAAGCCAGGACTGTTCACCTAATTCCAACCAACGCCCAACTTGATATCTCAATTTCATCGGAGCAAGTCTACAGCGCCGATGAAAAGATGGAAGTATGCGTACCTGGTGATTTATGGGGAAGTCGAAGAGAACCCGCACAACAGCTACCAAGAACAAAGAACACAACACCAAGAGAAAAGAGCAATACTCACGAAATGGGGAAGAAGAGGATTGGGATAGAGGAGCTGAGTTGGATGTACCGTTGACGGCGCCGGTGATGAACGCGGTGCCGATGATGCAGGTCATGGAGCCCATGATCATGGCCACGCGTCGACCGAATCGGTCTGAAAGAAATGAGATGGATACGACAACGAGGATATTCACGATCCAGTAGGAGGCGCTCAAGATTCCAAGAAGACTCCCTTTTGGGTGGTGGAACTCTGGTGCCAGGAAGAGAGCAAAGTCAGATGTCATGAACGACAAAAGAGCGAAGAACCATCCGGAGTCTTACCATCCTGCCAGACACTGAGTTCCTGGACGTTGTTTTTCAGACTTGCGTCGTAGCCTTGGACATACTCGCTCATCAGCGGGATGGTGAAGAGGATATTCAGGGTCCGAAGACCGCGGTCGCGCCACCAGTGATCTCGCTTGTTGTTCAACCGCGTCGTTGCCGCAAGAGCGTCGCGCTCTACTTGTGTGGTTTTCTGGCCCAGCAACTTTGCTGGAGAGCAGGTGTGCGTCCGAAGGTATTCACAGCATGTTCTGTGAATGGCATACTGGCCCGCTCGGGTATATCAATGAGCGAAAGGATGCCAGTTGAGTTCGAGCATGGTCAACTACGCCGCATTGAGGCTTCACGACTGTCGTATAGCCGGTGGACAAGGACACGAGACGTGGCAGCGCTGAACCCGCATTCCGAATCTGGGACATGGGAAGGTGTTCATGAAGGAGAGTTTGCAAATCATGAAGACCCTGCAGCCGGCTCGCAATGTGATGTGCCGGGAGGGCAGGAGATTCTCCGTCAATATCACGGTAGGCACCCATCCGCCTATCCGCGGGTTCAAGTTTGACTGCCACACAAGTGTCACTCGCACAGAGGAGACGCGGATCTGGTTCGAACTTCAGCTGTTGAGTTTCGAGATACCAGTCGGTTGCCGTATCTCTGTGCTCGACAAAATCCCGGACAGAGTCACCGCATAAATGCCAATTCCTACCAGCAAAACGCCATCACTAATTTCCGTGGATGGCAGTACGCAGCGCTCTAACTTACCAGGACTGTGGTGAGGCGCATCCCGGCGGTTGCTTTGCTACGCTGGCGAGGCGTCAACTAGATACAGACCACAAGGGAAAAGAGCGGGAATACCTAGTTTGGAAGGACTATGTTCAGACTGTTGACGATGGGCATAATACTATCTCTATTGGTATATGTAAAGGTGATGGGACGATTCACTTTTCGTTCGATCATCATTGCGATGAGTATGCTGTTGTCCCGCTTTTTAACCAGGCGAGACTCGATAAAAACAATGTGTTGTCGGTCTTGACCAGAACGGCTGCTGATAATGATGGGCAGCGCCGGGTAGTGGTGTTGGACTTTGACTTTGACTTAGACACTAACGATGGCTGATGGATGATGATTATCGTTCTACGCTGAATAAGGACAGATGCGAAACCGTCGATGGGTGGAACGAAGGAATCATGCACACTGTTTGCGATTTTTCCTCTCCAAAGAATGCGGATTGATCGGTCTGGATCGTCGAGGAGAAAGTTCAACGGGACGGTCGTAATTTTAACGTCACGACTAGTTAACGTCCGGGGCCGTGCGGCGCACGCGGACGCGCGGCGCCCGCTCAACACAATGCTCACTGCAGCACCCACGAGGTTGCAGAGCCATACACAAAAGCCAGTATCACGCGATATTCAGGTGTTATACAAAAGTGATGCTTGCGATTTAATCTACTATCTAAACTTCTACGGAATCTTGATAGTGCGGCCTCGAGAGTTAACTTTTGATAGAGCTACTAGCATAGGCTCTAGACGCGCCGTAGTAACTATAGCACTACTACTAGATCTCTAGCGCTTAGCCTTTAGTAGAGTAGGAGCTAAAGCCTTACGCTTACCCTTTTAGGTAGTCTATAATACCTTCTTAGTATTTTAAGCCTTAATTCGAGCAATACGCGCTACCTCCTTCTTAGCCTTAGCCTTCTCCCTCTCTTTTTTTATATTTGCCCGTGCTATACGCTTTTCTACTACTTCTTTTTCTTTTAGGAGCTTCTTAGTAGTAGTGCGCGCCTTACGGATAGCCTTTTAAGTCTCTTCCTCCTCTACCTCTCTTTCTTTTTTAGTAAGGCGTGCTTATACCTCTCTTACCTTACGCGGAGACTAAAATACCGCGCCTCTATAGTAGCCTTTACCCTACTTTAGGTCTAGAGGCTTACTATACTTCTTATATTTCTTCTTAGTAGATAGCGCCTCCCTTAGACTAGCTATTTTATAGTATAATAGCTCGTTTTAGACCTAAAAGTAGTAGAGCGTAAGGCTTAGCTCTTTTACCTCTTCTAAGTATATATCCTTAATAGTAGAGCGCAAAATTCGATCTAGATATTACTAGTCATACGGTACATCTATTACCTACTTACTTCGTGTCCTTTTATTACTCTTTTTGAAGCGTTTAAGTATTCTCTATAGATCCTAAGGCTATATCCTAGTAGCTATAAAAGCTTTAAGGATAGTCTTTTTCTTAAAGGCTATCTTCTAGGCATTCTAGAAGTTTAAAAAGAAATTACCCTTCTTAGACGGTACTTGCCCCTAGCTCTTTTATTAGAATATAGCTAGCTCTTTTATATAGGCGGTTACTAGAGGACTAAACATTACTACGTTAAGTAGTTATAGGGTATAGGTTAAGTAAGGAGGGAATATTAAGGGTAGAATTCGATACTTACTATAATAGGCTAAAAATTCCGGTGATATATAGCTTGTATAGCTATTAAGGATAAGGAGGCGCTATAAGCGGCGTGCTTTTCTCTTAGTATAGCGATTAAATACCTGTTTAAGCTATACTAGCCTAATATTATTATTACTCTAGCCTAAAGGAGATACTACTATAAAGGTATTATATTCTTTAGCTCTAATATCGGCTACCTAGGTCGATCGTACTTTGTCTAATAATGCCGTATAGATAATTCTAGGTAGTAGAGTAGTCCTATTAGTATAAATTACTACTATAACTATAATCTATTTACGAGAGCTATCCTATAGCGCTACTCTAACCTCTTTTTGCTCCTATATCTACCGATTAAATATTCTTTTAGTCCGTCTAATAGTGCCTAGTATAAAGCCTTTTTTATCTATATTATAGGTATTACGCTCTTGAATATTATACTAGGCTATCTTCTCCTATAGTAGATTAAAATATGCCTTATATTTCACCTCTGAATCGGCGTTATAGCGGACAGCGTCTATTCCTATAGTCTATTTTAATAAAAGCTTATCCTTATTCCGGTGGAAAAAGCGTATAACCTAGCGCGCGCTTATAGGCGTTCTAGGGATCGTGGAGGCCGTATTTTAGACTATCTACCTTATTAGAGCAAGGCCTATTTAGGTAAGCTCTTTAATATAGTAAATAACCTCTGCCTCCTGTTATAGGTTAAGCTTTTGTTAATCGTGTTTCTAGGTATCCTACAATTACTAGTAACCTCGGTGTCTTTAGGATAAGGTGGATCGGTTAACACTATACTCTTTGGCAATTACTATATACGTGAATTATTCTCCTAGTTCGAGCGCTTCGATTACTACTAGTGTAGCCTTAATAGCTATAGTGGATGTGGAGATATCACGCGTTGCAATCAAGGCAGGATTAAGGTGGTTAAGGTTGAGCGGGCGCCGCGCGTCCGCGTGCGCCGCACGGCCCCGGACGTTAACTAGTTACGGCGGGCGACTCAAGACAAAGACGCCGAACCTCCGTCGCTTCGCCGCAATGCTCATCCTGGAGAGCTCAACAACTAAGTTGTCTCTTAAACCTTAGGCACGCCTCAAGCATTTACTCGTTGTGCTGGTCTTACCACTGAGCTTCATACCGTCTAGTTTCTAAAAGATTGATCTGTTTTCGAAAATGTCTGCATTTATCTCGAAACCCGCCGCTACTGCGCGATCTCTACAGCTCGGCGCCAAACAATCACTGGCAGCGGCAGCGGCAAGCCAATCCGCATTCAAAATGCAATTGACTTCCTGCATACAGAGTACGAGATTGGCTACAGTTTCTCCTCCGAGATCAATTGCGCTGCAATCATCACAGTCGCGCAGCTTCTCGCAGATGCGAAGTCTTGCAGCGTCCCGCAAGGTGCGAAATCCATTACATCATACAGAGCGTCATGATGATGGCGGGCTTTTGGTGGAGCAACAACAAACCTCCTCACATTAGTCTCAACCCCTCTCCCTTTAAACGTCCC